AGACTACATTTAAATTGCTCAGTTCACCAAATTAGTACTTAAGTAGGCTACACTTAAATTGCTCAGTTCACCAAACTAGTACTTAAGTAGGCTACACTTAAATTGCTCAGTTCACCGAACTGAGTACTTAAGTAGGCTACACTTAAATTGCTCATTTCACCAACTTAATACTTAAGTAGGCTACATTTAAATTGATCAGTTCACCGAACTGAGTACTTAAGTAGACTACATTTAAATTGATCAGTTCACCGAACTGAGTACTTAAGTAGACTACATTTAAATTGCTCAGTTCACCAAATTAGTACTTAAGTAGGCTACACTTAAATTGCTCAGTTCACCAACTTAGTACTTAAGTAGGCTACACTTAAATTGCTCAGTTCACCAACTTAGTACTTAAGTAGGCTACATTTAAATTGCTCAGTTCACCGAACTGAGTACTTAAGTAGGCTACACTTAAATTGCTAAGTTCACCAAACTAGTACTTAAGTAGGCTACACTTAAATTGCTCAGTTCACCAAACTTAGTACTATGTTTGGTGAACTGAACAATTTAAGTATAGTCCAAAAAACCGGCAAGTTAAATAAACATAGTTTTGAGAGACTCCATTACTCAATTAAATTGAGGCAACGGGTTTACTCAATTAATTTAGTTCAGTAAACCTGTTGAGTGGGTTGAAATATGTTGATCTACTTTAGCGTTGATTAATCGACTTGCGGATAATTGAGGAAACTTCATAATGATGGTATCCAAAACATCAAATCTTATTTATAATAAGGAAGAACTTATTGTATTGTATTAGTATATATATATATATATATATATATATATATATGAGCATGTGTGTGCATAATAATATACTATGAAAAAATGTTTAAATAAATTTTAAACAATAAATAAGTAGCCATTTATTCACATTATGATGAATAATTATACCTGAAGCCATTTGTTTTCTGATTTTAAAAAAGACCTTGCACTTAAACAGTTGCACATGTTAGAATTTTACAGTCAAGACTACATTTGTGAAAATGACCTCTTTTTTCAAAGGATTAATTATGATTTTGAGCTCACTACACTTGAAATCTTAAGTTTTTGCATTTTCATGGTACATAGGTTAAATTAACTCATATTTTTAAGTGATAGGACCAAAAAGCTAAATTTTAAGTTATGTTCAGTCAACTTTACTTAATTGTTTAAGTAAAAACAACATTCTCCCTTCCTCCCTAGCTTGCTGAAAACATCGGCTAAAATGACAGAGGAGAATATGCAAGGAAATACCCAAGTGACCGACACCTGTATTTCACACTATATGTAAAAAGTTAGCCAAAAATCAGCACCATGGAGATCTCTGGATCTCTGTGAGAATTGCTGCATTTCAGCACTGCAAAAGCACTCATCGTGTGGCCGCTGTATTTCAGCACCGCTGTTAATCTCACATTACACTGTAGATTTTGTATAACTGAAATAAACGCTGTGATAAAAGCATCTGATAAATGTGTTCAGAACAATGCAGGTCAATACGCCAGCAGCCGTGTTTTCGTTGATAATCAATTAACTATGTCCTGGGAAAAAAATTGTTGTGTTCAAACTTTGGAAAAGATATAAACCCTGTGAATTCCCTTTAGTAGTAAATATCTGGCTATTGTAGGTTCAAGCACACTGAGGTGTGATGCAGAACAAATACGCTCAGGTTTCTCCCATGGGACTTTCCCTGTAATAAATGCACTGATAAAAGCAAGGCTGTAATTACATTTGGGGTCCTATTGTACTGGACTGTACATATACATCAAACCCATATCTTTGACCACTAATCTGAACACTGCAGGAACACGTGCTACCTCTAGCTAGCTGAAAACATCGAATAAATGACAGAGGAGAACATGTAAGGAAAAACCCAGCGACTATGGCCTGTATTTCAGTACTATAAGTATGGCTAAAATTTAGCACCATGGACAGCGCACATTGAGCGGCCGCTGTATTTCAGCACCACATTTAACCTCAGAGTACATTGTAGCGTTTATGAAACTGTAATAAATACTATGAAAAACGAAGCTGATAAATGAGATGAGTTCAGAACAATGCAGGTCAATACGCTAGCACCCTTGTTTGCTTTGACAATCAATTAACTATGCCCTGGTAACAAAATTGTTGTGTGTCCAAACTTGGGATAAGATATAAACCCTGTGCATTTCCTCTAGTAGTTAAATATCTGGCTACTGTATGTTCAAGCACACTGAGATTTGATGCAGAACAAATATGCTCAGGCTTCTCCCATTGGACTTTCCCTGTAATAAATGCACTGATAAAAGCAAGGCTGTAATCTCATTTAGGGTCCTATTGTACTGTACTGTACATATGCATCAAACCCATATCCTTGACAACTAATCTGAACACTGCAGGGACACGTCCTCCCTCTAGCGAGCTAAAAGCATAGGCTAAATGACAGAGGAGAACATGTAAGGCAGGGATCACCAAACTTGTTCCTGGAGGGCCGGTGTCCTGCAGATTTTAGCTCCAACCCTAATCAAACACACCTGAACAAGCTAATCAAGGTCTTACTAGGTATACTTGAAACACCCAGGCAGGTGGTTGAGGGAAGTTGAAGCTAAACCCTGCAGGGACACCGGCCCTCCAGGAATGAGATTGGTGACCCCTGATGTAAGGAAATACCCAAGTGACTCTGGCCCATCAGCACTATATGTATAGTGTTAACCCAAATTTAGCACCATGGACAGCGTACATTGTGCGGCCGCTGTATTTCAGCACTGTGGTTAACCCTTAAATTTGACAGTAGTGTTTGTAAAACTGTAATAAATACTGCAATAAAAGCATTCTGTGAATGAAATGAGTTCAAAACAATGCAGGTCAATACACTAGCACCCTTGTTTGCTTTGACAATCAATTAACTATGCCCTGGTAACAAAATGGTTATGTGTCCAAACTATACCACCTATACATTTCCTCTAGTAGTTAAATATCAGGCTGTTGTAGGATCAAGCACACTGAGGTTTGATGCATTTGATGCAGAACAAATGTGTTCAGGTTTCTCCCATGGGACTTACCCTGTTATAAATGCACTGATAAAAGCAAGGCTGTAATTACATTTGGGGTCCTATTGTACTGGACTGTGCATATGCATCAAACCCATATCCTTGACCACTAATCTGAACACTGCAGGGACACGTGCTCCCTCTAGCTAGCTAAAAGCATCGGCTAAATGACAGAGAAGAACATGTAAGGAAATACTCGAGTGACCGACACCTGTATTTCACACTATATGTAAAGAGTTAGCCAAACGTCAGCACCACGGAGAGCACTCTGTGAGAACTGCTGCATTTCAGCACTGCAAAAGCACTCATCGTGCGGCCGCTGTATTTCAGCACCGCTGTTAATCTCACATTACACTGTAGCTTTTGAATAACTGTGATAAACGCTGTGATAAATGTGTTCAGAACAATGCAGGTCAATACGCCAGCAGCCGTGTTTTCATTGAAAATTAATTAACTATGTCCTGGTAACAAAATGGTTGTGTTCAAACTTTGGAAAAGATATAAACCCTGTGAATTCCCTTTAGTAGTTAAATATCCGGCTATTGTATGTTCAAGCACACTGAGATTTGATGCAGAACAAATATGCTCAGGTTTCTCCCATGGGACTTTTCCTGTAATGAATGCATTGATAAAAGCAAGGCTGTAATTACATTTGGGGTCCTATTGTACTGGACTGTAGTCATGCATCAAACCCATATCCTTGACCACTAATCTGAACACTGCAGGGACACGTCCTCCCTTTAGCTAGCTAAAAGCATCGGCTAAATGACAGAGGAGAACATGTAAGGAAATACTCGAGTGACCGTCGGGTGCATTTCAGCAGTATATGTACAGCGCTAGCTGAAATTCAGCACCGCGGTATTTATGCACCGCGGAAAGTGCAAATCCAGCGGCCGAAGAATGTTAAATCCGCGCACAATCCAGCTGCAAATGTACTTCAGCACCGCGGACAGCGCACAAGCAGTGACCGGCGTATTTCAGCACCATGGACAGCGCTTATCAAGCGGCCGCTGCATTTCCGAGGCACCGCCGCTTTTGCTGCTGGTTTCCCCGCTCTACAGCAGTGAGGAGGGGGGAGGTGAAGCGGGGTTTCCCTAAGAGCTGGATGGAGCTCCTCTGCCTCTCCTTCTCTGCACATTACCACCTTCACTAGCGGATTTCCATCAGAGGGTTATCACCAATCACATCGCACGAAAATCCGCGGCCTCCGCGTTTTTTTCCTCTTTTCCCAAAGCTGCATTATCCTGCTAATGCAAGAGATTTCAAGCCTTAAATGCTATCGTTCAGTGCATGCATTTGATTGATTGATTTATTTAATTATTATTACACAGCAATGAAATTAAATCGCAAACTGCACAGCCTTCGCTCGAGCGTTTCACTCGTCACCACTGGCAAAACATGAAGCACGGATGGAAATCACCGGCGAAGGCATGTTTGCATTAACAAGGCTGTCATGCAGAGAGGAAACCAGCATTCAGCCCACGATTCACAGCCGTCCTCACTAATATCAGCCCACTGCATCCACCGTCTCTGACAGTAAATCACATCTTCAGCACCGATCACACCAGATGACTGCAGGTACTTCACAAATAATACAGCATTCACTGAAGCAAATGTGGAGAATGCGCTCATTTAAAGGAGAAAATGAAGAATTGAGCAGATAAAACTCCATCCTCTCGTGAGATTTCAAAACACTGTCACGCATGCATATAAGCTAGAAGAGGGATTGTTTAGTCGTTTGGCCGGTAAATGAATCTCTGGAAGAGAAAAGGGCTTTAAATCACCGCTGACCAGCAGAGTAACACACAAACACACACACACATGCCACACACACACACATGCACGCACACACACGCTTGGGGAGGAGAGGCTCCGCTGGCAAACAGCTGGAAAACCGCAAGTGCTTTTCCCCGAAAGAAACCGCACGATGATTTGAAGGGTTTTGGCCTTTACCTGTCAGGACGCCGACCCGGATTTGGTGGTCGTGGTTTGTTAAAATCATCCCGTCTGACGCCATATTCAGCACCGCTGTCGCCGCACTGAGAACTCCAGGCAGAGCCGAGAGCCGAGCGCATCGAACTCTGGAGGGGGAGAGAGGGAAGCGCGCAGGCCAGAGCAGCAGAACCCAGATTCAGCGCTCACTGGGGAAATAGACAAAACTTAAAAATAAAATACTAAATAATAATAATAATAATAAAACAAAAATAAAATACAACATAAATACAAAAAAAAAACACAAATTAAAATAAAACACAAATATAATTAAATAAAAAATAAATAAAACCCAACTACAAATAAAACAACACAACACAAATAAAACACTGATAAAAGCGACACTGTGGCGCAGTGGGTAGCACATTCACCTCACAGCAAGAAGGTCACTGGTTCGAGCCCAGGCTGAGCCAGTTGTCATTTCTGTGGAGTTTGCATGTTCTCCCTGTGTTGGTGTGGATTTCCTCCGGGTGCTCCGGTTTCCCCCCACAGTCCAAACACATGCGCTATAGGGGTATTGGGTAAACTAATTAGGCTGTAGTGTATGAGTGTGTGTGAATAAGTGTGTATGAGTGTTTCCCAGTACTGGGTTGTGGCTGGAAGGGCATCTGGTGTTTAAAACACACACACACACATATATATATATATATATATATATATATGGGGCGACATGAGGGGTGCAGTGGGTAGCACGTTCGCCTCACAGTAAGAAGGTCGCTGGTTCAAGCCTCGGCTGGGTCAGTTGCCATTTCTGTGTGGAGTTTGCATGTTCTCCCCGCGTTCATGTGGGTTTCCTCTGGGTGCTCCGGTTTTGCCCACAGTCCAAAGAATTGGATAGGATAAAATTGACTGTAGTGTAGGAGTGTGTGATTGAATGAGTGTGTATTGATGTTTCCCAGTGATGGGTTGCGGCTGGAAGCGCTCTGTAAAAACATGATGGATAAGTTGGCGGTTCATTCCGCTGTGGCGACTTCAGAATAAAAAAACAAGACAAGAAAATGAATGAATATATATATATATATATATATATATATATATATATATATATATATATATATTAGAGCTGTCAAAATTAGCGCGTTAACACATGTGATTAATTTGAAATATTTAATGCGTTAAAAAAATAACGCAAATGACGCAATTGCAGTTTTTTTAATGTTCTGTTGTGGCCGACGTGTGTTCAGGGACGGCACGTGCATAGAGGCGACCTAGGCGGCAGAATAGTGAGTGAACCCCTCTATAGGAGCCATATTACTTTTTATTTAATTATAATGTTTATTTGTATACTGATTAGTTTGGGTTTCACAGTGACGTTTTATGTTTTGGTCACGTGGGCATAACTGGCACCTGCTAGAACATATAAAGTGTGTGCACAATCACGCAGGTGTTAGGAGGAGAGAAGGAGAGTGGGGTAGCCGTATTTTTTGTTGACCGCAAAACGGCATCGCAACGGCACACGCAACAACCATCACTACAACGCAATAATAGGCTCCATACAAAACAGGTATTCAACCCACAAATTGCTGTATTGTTTGTCATGCTTCAAGTTTACGTAAAGTTTTCCTTAACATCTTGGGCTCAGTGTGTCTGTCTAAAGCCACCAGCGCGTCACAAATTCAAAGGACCCTCACTGCCTCTCTAGCGACTGAAAGGAGGCATCAGAAAGTCACAATACCCTCAGTCCTCATTTTAATTTGCTACACCCACCCCCTCCCTCACGGTCCTTACGTTACTTAATGTGCCATCACCAGGCTATCCTGCGTTTCCCCCAGAGTTTCATGCAATTTCGGGTGTTTCATTTTTAATCTTTAGACTTTAGCTGCAGTTCAGCAGTTCAGTCTCCTTCAGCAGATGTTCATTCAGGATGTTTTAATGGAATTTGTCACCTCATGGCGAGCGGAAAGAAAAACCTCTGCACTGGCTTGATCCTTTAAGGTAATCAAAAATCTCTGCTTACATGGTCAACTCTTAATCAGTACTATCTTCATCATTAAAGTGGAGTATTGGTGTATTGACGTCTATGTAAATGTACTCAGAAAGTGTCAGATGAAGTGGCGAGCTGTTAAAGACAGCCCTATTCTCTGCCTTTAAGCTATTTCCATGAGCCCTCACGTTTCATAAGTTTGACGTGTTTCCCCCCTACACGCAACTTTTGTAAAGCGTCTGCTTCACGTTGCTGTGTCAGAATCCTTGCTCATAAAATACAGTTAGACTTTAGAACGCTTAGTTTAGGCAAATTTGATGAACGTGATCGAGCGTGTTGATGAATCTGAAGGGATCCCTCGCTCACCGTGTGCGCTGCGCCCGTTGCATTGCATTGCGTGCGTGCGCATGTGTTTGTAGTCCACTTAGAATTCAACATGGAAATCATTTTTGTTTGTTATTGGCATTGATTGTTTTAAAAATTCATATG